CACTGCACTTTACAGAAACCTACAAAAAAGAACAACAGAGCAATTACAATTTTAAGACGTTTTGTACTCGCTGTGTATGTGACATCATGAGAACTGATGATGATTGGGACCGGATGCCTGGGGGGGAAAAACATTTCTGGGTTTCTTCTTTGCCTGTTTATGTTAGAAGTAGAAAAAAAATACTTAGCAATGTCATAGAGTCAGTTGATGTTGGCATTAACTATGAAGCTGTTTTAAGTGTGGACTTAAGCAGACAAACTACCTTAAAATCTTTCCATCCATGACAACCATGATCTGAACACGCTGATCCTTGCAGGGTGGTGAGGGGGGCTGGTGGTGCCCATCTCCAGCAGCCATCAGATGAGAGGCAGGGCTCACCATGGACAGGTCACCAGTCCATCACAGGGCCCTGAAAGCCAACAACAAATAAAATGTATGAAAGAGAAATGTTAGATTAACAAGGGGAATAATTCTGTCCAGTTATCTTTAAATCAAATCATGTTTATTAAGCACTTGGTGTAGGTAACACAGCAGTTGTTGTTGTTGAAAATGTAGCTAGCTCCTCATTGAAAAAAACAAACTTACATCATGAAGACAATGTGGAGGTTCATCCTCAGAGCTGGTTGGTGATCTGGTGGAGTCAGAGCTTCTTCTGAGAGAGAAAGTCTTTAGGTTTACTAACAGGCTGGAAAAAATGCAGCAAAAGTCCAGACAGAAACAGAAGTTAACAAAAAGGTTCTGGACCATCTGCAGGTGTTTCACAGGCAGGAAGACCAGGTAGGAGGCTGTGGCAGGAGTCACAGTGTGAGACCATCGACTGCACCAGACAACTTTTAATTATAATTAACATCAAATTTTTATTTTGAGTCTTTCTAAAAAAAAAATTAAAAATTAAGTTCCCTCTGCTGCTTTGTCATATTTAAACATTTATTTCAAACACATAAACAGAAACACATCAAATGTATTCCTAACAGTGAACACCACTTCACCTGAACTCGTCTCCCAGCAGTTGTGGCCTGCAAGGCTTTCTAAGTACAACTGAACACAATCAGAATCAATAACATGTCTAGATTATCATGTTTGTTCAAATAAATGGTTTTAATTTACTGTCAGTAATCTACTGTTTTTTTGTGTAATGTATCTCTTGGCTGCGCTGCTTCCCATACCTGCCTGTGTGGATTAGCAAACTTTCATCCAATCAGATTTCCTTCTCCATGTGTTGCTAGGGTCAGTCTAATCTGCAGGGACTTCAGAATCAGGAGAGCAGAACTACATTCAATCCACAATACAGCAGTGCAACTGTTGTTTTAACCAATCAGCTGACAGATTGTCCTCAGCGCCTGCTGGAAGATGATGTCAGACATGTTCTGCTCTCTAACTGGATGACCAGATGTTGCTAGCTTACTTATAAATTAGTTTGTTTTTTTACACCCACAATGGCTGATGGACAAATTGGAATGATTAAAAATCTGTTTTCTCTTCCCAAAGAGCTGGACACCATAAAGAGAGAGCGGCCGAGTCAAACTCTGAAGCTCTTACACATCAGTTTTATATAAACAGTAAAATGGGAGAAATAAAAACTGAAGAGAATCTGAGACTGAGATGAATAACATCAGAAATTAGTCGTAATACAATAAGTCACAGGCAAAAATCACAAATTAAAAATCTATAATCTTACAGAACATGTTGTTCTGTCCTGTGTTTCTCCTCTATGGCTCTCATGTCTAAAGTATTTCTTGGTTCAGACTTTAACATATTTATATTTACTGATTCATGCATCAGTTCAGGGTTTGCACATTTAAAGGAAAGGCTACCAGGAGCCTGTGAAGCAGCTGCCGTGTTTCTGCTGTTTTCATGTAAAACATGTGGAGAGCTGCTGAGTTACAGTAAATCAGCTGATTGGCAGGAAGACGTTTGGCAGAGATTCCTGAGCCAAACCAGGTCAGAGGTGTGTTTTCATATCAATTGTTGGTATGTAGAATGATGTCATTGTGATTACCTTGCATAAAACTCCTCCAGTGTGAAGAGTAAGGAGTACAAAGCCAGAAATACAAGATACATTATACAAACCTAATGATTATTTCTGTTTGCTGAGTTTCTACCAGATGCCAGCATCACAGAGCAGATCCTGCTGCAGGACAAGCAGGTTTTTCTGCTCAGTTTTAGCTGAACTCTGGTGTTTACTGAGGTCAATAAACTTTAAAACCTTGACATTCACAGACTGGAGTCTCAGGGGATTCACAGGTTTCTCTTTCAGTGTTGTTGTTTATTTTTTATGGCAGGAATTTTATAAGGCGTGTACATGATGTAATATGACCCGAGGTCTATAAATAAGGCTGCTGGATTTTACCTGTTAAACGCCCTCATCATTTTTACCTGAACGATCTGCGGCAGGTAAGAGAAAATGCAGCTCAGCTTTAATAAACTCACAGTATTATTAGTAAATATTATTAAATAGTTAGCAATAGATTTATTCTGCACTCGAATCTGGTTATTACATCAGAGAAAACATTGTTCGGTCATACAGAGTTTCTGTTTTTTAATGAAAGTATAGTGAACAGAAATGTGGAAATTTAGATTAAAAGTAAAAAACTGGTCCAGCAGTTCAGAATTTTCTCATTGTAAAATGATTTTGTTTTCCTTCCCCAGGTTAAGAGTTTTGTTTTTGATCCTGATTATCCATCAACCATGAACGACCTGAAAACTGATCTACTCCAGGATCTGCTGATTTCTCTAGTGAAGCTGGAAACACAGTTAATTTTGTAAGTTTCTCAAAGTTTAAAAGACGTCAAAAAAATGTTACTGATATTCTGAGCAAAAGTGAAAGTGAAATCTAGTACAACTTTGGTTGGTTGAAATAACTTCTTCGGTTACATAAAGCAAACATATCAAAGGAAACAACTTCAGCAAAACCATAAAAAACAAATAGACATTTTCTGTTAAATTTATCATTTTATGTTGCAGTTTGTGAACTCAATCTCAGCAGGACAATGACACAGCAGCAAGTCTACCATATAATAAGGGCTAAGACTGGATCTATGTCCAGTTCAATTTCAGTGGTGTACTCTGAAATAAACACTTTATGCTCAATTAAAACAATTATTAAAAAGCAGACTCAGCCAAAGGTCCTCCCTAGACTCAGTACTGGTTATTATAAAGGCTTAAAAAATAATTAGGGTTTCAGTCCATCCACTAAAAGCTTAAACACAACTCAAAATATTAGTGTATTTAACAACAATAATTACAAATGACCTAAAATAACATTTAAAAAGTTAGCTACATACATACTCCCCCTCTTCAAGGTGGGTAAAACAAAATGGCGTTGGCGAGATTCTTCCAGAAGCAATCTTGGCCAAGTATCCGGATGCTCAACATTTGCATTCTGGTGTTGAAAGCATTGACCCGTTACAACTACGTCAGTTAATCATTCAAGGCACCAATTATGGAAGTCGGAAGAGAGGGTCGGAAGTATAGAACCGAGTGGCTTAAATTGTTTTCCCAAGTTGTTTTTGCCAGTTTATTCATGGCTTCCACTTGTTTGAGTGAAGCTAATTTGTCAGTGAACGTAACACACCTGGTTTGGGATCATAGACAGTGATATTTACAAGAGTTTGAAATAGCTAGCTTAGAAATAGACCCATAAATCCTCCCTTTGACGTGTTAGTCAAATTGCCAACTTTCCCTGAAGTCACACAACATAATTTATATCACTATACTATAAATGGCGTTTCCCGTTACACTAAAGAAGCCTTAAACAGGTGCAAAAGAGGGAATGCTAACCAGTTTTTTTCCATACATGCTAGGCTACATGACAGTGCAGCATTGTCTCCATGGTTACTAAAGGTTACACACAGTACCTTCTCCATAATGCAATATTTGATATCATCTTTCTAATCACACTTACTTATAAAGTATATGAAATTAGTCTTCTTACCTTGGAAAAGCGTTCGCTGCAAATCCGTGATTACAACGAATACACTAAATACAACACTAAAGTCTCAACACAGTACTCTAATCGGTAAACACTGATATTTTCACTCTGGCCAGTTTGCTGTGTAACTACTGCAGAAGGAGTATGGAGGACCACAAGTGTCAAACTCAGAGCTCGAGGACCAAATTGGGCCCGCCATTCCTTCCTATGTGGCCCTCTAGACACAACGGGGCTGCAAAGAAACTTCAAGATAACAGTTGTGTCTTTAAATATTTTATCAATTAAATCAAAGCAGTTTTATCGTTTTACTGCCAAATTTCATCAGTCAGTCCTTTTAGTTTTGTGTGGAAATTCACGCTAAATCAACTGATCCCCACTCTTTTTCACACTACATAATTGTGAGTTTATTGCTAATTTTCTGCAAAAATGGTCAAAAACCTTAGGTTGAAGTAATAGCTAACTATCACCTGCAGGTGGCATTGTTTCCTACTTCTACCGCCTCAGCCTTGCTTGGTGTCAAGTTTTAGTCTTTGATGATGTAATGAGTCACAATTACCGCCCCGCATAAATGCAAATATAACAAAATTCATTGAAAATATTTCTAAATTAGCACCTCAGTCACTTTGATTGCAAAATAATTCACAAAAAAACAATAAAATCCTGAAGAGACGGATGTTCAGTATTTAATTTGAAGAAGTATCAAGACAGAGACATGTTTACTGATATTGAGAGTTTGTTAATAGATTTTACTAATACACTCTGATTCTGGTTTAGGGGGTGATTACCAGGACATCTGGTGCAAGCTTTACAAGAATGCACCTGATGTATTTTATTTTAATTATTCTATTTTTTTCTGCAGGGCAACTTTCCGGAAACATATTCACATCCTCGAAAGCACAAAAGGGTCAGATGAGTGGAAGAAGCTGATGAAGCTTGCAGAGGACAACTGCACCAATCAAACTGTCCTCAAGTGGCTCAAAGAAAAACCCTCCACCTTCTACCAGCTGGTGGACATGTTTAATTTCTTTAAAAAACACATAAATGAGGAGGAGAAGAAGAATCACAGTGACACTGTGGACATCACCTTTGTGGCTCATGGATCAATCGGAGATTTCATGATCCCAGCCAGCTGCCTGCTGCCTCTGGCCTCCATCAGGGACGTGGTTCTTTATGCTCCCTGGAACTGTGTCTCTGGGGGTGCAGAGATAACACACGCCATCGCTACAGGACGGCTGAAGCCTCAGCACAGAGTTTTCTACTGCTACAAGAAAGATGGATGTCCAGTTCCTGATGAAAAACATCGACCTGTGAAACTACCGGACCGCTGGAACTCAATGAGGCAGGCAGGAGACCAGATGATCCCAAACATCTCAGTTAGTCCTCTACGACCAGACGATGGGGTTTGGAAAAGCTTTGAATCTCTCACTAAAAAATATGGTCCTATTGGGAGAAACCGGATCATCATCCCCTTCATCGTCCCAGAAGAAAAAGCAGAGATTGTCCCGTTCTCTGTGGTCACCTTGGCCCTGTCTCTGGTTCTGCTCCAGTCCAGGTTCAAAGCCACCGTCCACCTGGACGCCTGTCTGACTGACATTTCTGTTGGACAGAAGTTTGACAGAGAATATCTGGAGAAGCAGTACGCCTGCGCTGCTGATGGGACTGGAATGATGTGTTCTAATAACATCTTCAGTTTCTCAGTCATAGATTATTTTAAGAGTTTCTTCAGTTAAACACGTTTATGTTAATCCAACTGAGATTCTGCATAGGACAGACGATTATTAATAACCTGCTTTCATCTTGGCTCAGACGTCTGACAACTGAAAGCACCAAGAACCAGGAACTGCTCACGACCAAGAACACTCTGAGGCTGAACAGAAAAATCTGTGATCAGTTTTCTACTGTGATCAGCAGAATCAGACATTTGCTGTTTGCTTTTATGACTCATAATTTAAGATTTTATTAAGATTTTGTTTTTCGCAGAACATGAATCCAGTTTCACTCCAGTTTCAGGTTGGAATGAAGTCTCAGCCAGAAAGTGATCAATAAAATATATTGAAACTGATGACAGATTTTTTGCTTTCAAACTGAACTGTGTCAAACAAACCAAACCGTTTGAGCTACCTGTTCCCCTCCTCGCCTCTGGGGGCGCTGCACCAAGAACTACTGAAAAAACAAACACAAAACCCTCTGATCTAGACACTGAACACAACTTTCTTCTTTATTAAATGATAAAATATATATATAGTGGCATCAGACCTTGGCATTTGTAGGACTTCTCTTTTGTCTTTGGGAACAGATCCCAAAACATTTCTCCCGCTAGTGTTAGACTATCATGTTTGCTTTGGTTACCCAGAATGCACTGCGCCAGAGTCCACTTCCTGTTTTCAACGAGGTCTCCTATTAGGTTGGCATTCACATATGCATTCGAACTGCACCAGATTTCACTTCAACCGAACCGAGACCGAGGTTTGTCAATGACCAGACGTCACTTCTTCGGTCCGCATCAGAGTTTGATTAGACATTCACATCTACCCAAACGAACCGGACTTTCAAGGCAAATGAACTGAAGTTGGATTATAAAGGACCGAACTGGGCAGGTGTGGAAGCAGCCTAAATCACAGAAACATGCTCTGATTTACACCAAACTGGATATGAATAATTATTGTCATTCATATTGATATGTTGTTATTGTAATAACTGGTGTGTGACCCTTCAACTAACAAATCAAGTGAAGCTACATTGAATTATCTTTCTTACTATTCAGAACGTAAACACAGATATTACCTTTAAATTACCATTCAGGATAGAGAACATTTTTTTTTAGTCAAAACTCATTTTTATACATCTACAATGTCATTACAGATTGTCAGACAAAGGCGATTTTATGTTAAAATGGCCTGCCATAAACAGTGATGCCTCAGCAAAAAGAAACATAGCATTAACCTTTGAACCTTTGAACAAATGATGATTGTCAGGTTGATAAAGAAGCAGAAAATATTTTAAACATCGTCTTCAGGACGCCACCTGGTTGAATGACAGCGTTCAGATAAACATGTCGTCATTCATACCGCAGTATTAATAGAGATTTTTTCCTCTTATACATATTTACTCAGGGATTTCTTTAGATGCTCAGCTGTGTACTTAATCTCTGCAGGAAATACCCAGTTTGTCTCGCCTTGCAGGTAAACATGTCATCAGTGGTCTGATCTGGTAGGAGGCCGGAGAAAATAAGAGTCCAAACACAGCTGCAGTAATTCACTACATTTAAATAGCACCAATTCCATCCATCCATTTTCTGTACACTCTTGTCCTTAATGGGGTCGAGAGGATTGCTGGTGTCTCTCCAGCTAACGTTCCAGGTAAGAGGCAGGGTCACCCTGGACAGGTCGCCAGTCTGTCGCAGGGCAACACAGAGACAGACAGGACACACAACCATGCACACACACACCTAGGGAGAATTTAGAGAGACCATGACTAACGGTCATGTTTTTGGATTGTGGGAGAAAACCTGAGCACCCAGAGAGAACCCACCATGCACAGGGAAAACATGCAGAAAGACCCCGGGCCGGGAACTGAACCCAGAACCTTCTTGAAACAAGACAACAGCTCTACCAACTGCACCACTGTGTTGCTATGTTGTTTTTTTTCTAGTCATCCAGGGTTTTGTCATATATTCTCTCTATCCTTATTTCTCCTCTAATTTTATGTCATTCTTCCCCTTTAAGCTTTTCCCCCTTTTTCATCTTCATGTCCATCACTTTCAAATGTTTTCCATACTTGTCATAAAGATGAAGTTAAATCAGATCGATTTAATAAAATTTTTTCAGACTGAATTTATCATTTCGTTTTTTATGAAGCTTTACTGCATCTCCCCAAACTGAAATAAAATATATGAATAGAGTTTTTATTTCTTGCACATATTTACTCAGTGACTTCTTTGGAAGATCAGCGGAATATTTTCCCTGCAAGGAATCCCACGTTTGTCTTGGCCTTCACTCCTTCCTTCATTCCCAAATCTGTTTCATTTTGCACAGAGAGACATTCATTCACACGTCAGATGAGGTGATACAGTTTTATAAGATATATTTTGCCACACACTAAACTATTTGAAGCTGCTTTGAAAGAAAAATATCATATGCAATTAAAACAAGATGACCTCACCCAGTAAAGGTTGAGGTGAGGTCAATCCAGGGGTTGGAGAGATTACTGTCCTCCTGACACTTTGAATATATGAATTTAATCAGTCAAAAAAGATAATCAAGTAACACAATTATTTACATGTCAGAGAATAACGTTAGGAAAATAAACTAAAATGTAGAAAACAGCTTCTGTTATCTTGTCTCCCACAAAAATTGATGTAATCAAATCAAAATATTATGTTAATCTGACACATTTAAAACCAACAACAAACTAAAAGAAATTATAGATGGATCATAAAAGCAGAAGAAAATTAGGATTAAAGGTGAGAAAAGGGGGGAAATAATGTCTTGATTGTTTCTCCTTGTGGCAGTTTTTATATATTGTGTCTTTTAATATGATTTTAATCTGGTGTTTGGTTTGGTCTGTTGTTATGAGGTGAACAAGTCTACCTCATAATTTCATAATAAATGAAAGAAGTAGAGAGTTGATTATGAATATTTAATGAAAAAATAAGAACATACAAAAACAAAACAATGGGAGCACAGGGAGCCAGAGGAGAACAAAAAAAACATAAATCCAGGGAAATTTGACAGCAGAAGTGTTTAAGTCCTCAGAGAGTAAATCCAGAAAATTGGACTTGTTCTGATTGGCTACCTGGCTGCAGGTGTGAGGGGAGAGAGAGAGAAAGTGCCACAGGGGCGAGGGAATAAGTCTAACACTACAGAATGAGTAGACATAAGGAACATAATTAAACTAAAGTTACAAACATAATAAACTAGAATCACTGAGAAAGAACTGAACTAACGGAAAACAGAAAAAGAATGATATAATTAAAAGAAAGACACTAAGGAGCACTGAATGTTGAAACTAAAATAAAACCCCAAAACAATCCAGAACCAGACAAAAGAACCACAATCCTAATTTGTACATTTCATTCTGAAATTAATAAAAGAAAACCCCTCTCAGCTGTTAAAACTTTTACTCTGTTAGATCTTGTTCGTTTAATCATATGGACCACCTGAGTACTTTCTCTAAATAAGCTTAACCTTTACACACCTTGGTAAATATTGGTGTTTATCGCGTCATGTGTACTGAATGGAAAGTGTGAATCAGAGGGAGAGATCAGGAGATCCAGCTTCCTATAAAATGCCTGGTGGATTTGAAGCTCAACCTCAGGCTGCACAACTCAAAGGAGCTGTTGACCAATTCGCCTCTGGAAAACCTCATTGGACCAAATCCCAGCTCTGCTCTCCCTGCAAGGCGGCTGACACAGTAAGCTTTGTGAAACCTGGTCTTTTAGTCTGAAACTAACACAGACATGCTGCATTAGGCTAACTAAATTATCTAAACTTATTATGTCAATGTTATTATGTCAATGTCATATCAGTAGAGGTCTAGGTTAGCCATGTTACCTTTGACAGCAACTTTTTAATTAGTTTTAGACAGTTTCATCAGAATTGTTTCAGTCTCATAGGCAGCACAGTGGCACAGTTGGTAGAGCTGTTGCCTTGCAGCAATAAGGTTCTGGGTTCAATTTCTGGCCCAGGGTCTTTCTGCATGGAATCTGCATGTCTCTGGGTACTCCGGCTTCCTCCCACAGTCCAAAAACATGACTGTCAGGTTAATTGATCTCTCTAAATTCTCCCTAGGTGTGTGTGTGCATGGTTGTTTGTCTCTGTGTTAATATGAATTATTAATAGGAGATTAATTATCTTTCCTTTTAACCAGTTATGGCATAATATTATGATCTGATTATGACAAAAACAGTTTTAACTTTTTTCAAACATCTTTATTTTTCTGACCTTGCTTTAAATAACAATATATTTTAAAGAAGTTGGCCTGCTCTGCCTTAAAATTATATAAATTGGCCATAACAAATTACATTTTTCATTAAATAAATGTTACTGTTGTGGTGGAAAATTTATATTGAAACTCTTGTCATGGGTTTCAGTTAATTATGTTGAGTATCAGAGTGTTTTCTAATTTCTCTTTTGAGGAAAATAGCATGTTCGAGTATTGTAAGTCTATGTCACGGTCTCTCTCTCTGTCCCATCAGGCTGATAAACCTCTGCACACGTTCCAGCCAAACCAGTGAGTCCTGGTGAAAGACAGCTGTCATTGCCATTGGAAGTCCAGGCATTAGTTGGGACCCTATCAGGTTCTACTGACCACTCACACAGCTCTAAAAGTTGAAGGGTGCACTTCCTGGATCCACACCAGCCACTGTAAGACATTCACAACTGAACCACCTGTCAAGATCCGTGTTTTTGTGTGTTTATATTTGAGTTTTCTGTGTTCAGTCCCGTTTCCCTGTGAGTCTCTGTCCTGTCCTCCCCGTTGATTGCTCCCCAGGTGTGTCTCATTCCCTTAATTACCCCGTGTGTATTTATACCCACCTGTTGTCTGTGTTCGTCGTCGGGTCCTTGTCTATCGTCCTAGTCAGATTCTAGTGTGCTCATGCGTGTGTCGCTCACAGTTGAACTGATAAGTCCTGTGTCGACTCAGCTCTCGTTTTCAGTCTTATAATCAGTTGCTACCGGTACTTAGCTGTGTGCTAGTCTCTGCCGTGCTGCCTGTATGGACTGTTGAGCTTTATTTTCACCATTAAATTCATCATCTTCACCATACCTGGGTTCTCAGCGTTCTCTCCTCACCAGTTCAACCCCCACCTCATGACACCACCTGCTGAACTGCTGGGGAAGGTCAAGACTCCAGAACCTCTTCCCTTGGAAGACCTTCCAATGACGGCCCACCTGCCTCAGTAATAGTTCAGTTTGAAGCACAGAACTGCCCAAGTACAGACAGGAGGATTCCTGAATTCATCATCATCATCACCAGTGACGACACAACAAGATGAAGGTTTACACACTTATCCTCATCATTCTTTTTGCAGTACCAGTGCACAAGCTGTTGGCCCAAGGAGATCTGATCCGTCGCACCAGAGCTGCATATGAAGTGAACCATCATGAACCAGAAGACAATGAGTGGTGGCAGTTAGCTCGACACCTGACCAGAAAAATAACAAATGACAGCTGTATTGTTTGTTCCATGATTCCACATTCTACCCTCCCAGATCCTCTGCTGACGCCTGTGCCTATCTCTTTGACAGAATCACTTGCGATACTGCTTCCAAATGATGGAGATGTTCAAAAAGTGTTTCCATGGGTGTCAAGTGTCACATTCAGACCAATGCGAGATCCCAGGTATTTCTCTGCTGAAACAAATAAAACGTGTGTTACTGCTGCTGCCGTGTATAAAATGAGAAGGTTCAACCATCCTTTGCCCAGTCTCTGCATTTCACAGCCACATCTCACTTCTGTCTTTTTGGGTAATACCACTGGGTGTAATGTTACCCTGGACGTGTCCTGTTTAGGAACAGCTTTTTGTCGGCCTTTGGAAGCTGACTCAGTCAAGTTGCCAAAATCTTATGTGAATCAATCTGTTACACTTCCTGCTCTAAATGTTGTAACATTAAATTTCACTGCATTCCCAAATGGCTCACAGTTTTATGGTAAAATAGGAAATAAAGTTTTGACGGAAGGAACTGCCTTCTTACCTAGCCTGGATGGTTACGGATGTCCTCAGGACATGGTGTGGGTTTGTGGACAAAGATCTTATTTATATCTTCCTGCAAACTGGTCAGGAGTGTGTTACTTATCCCGTCTATTTCCAGCTGTTTCTCTGTACAAAAATGCAGGTGATGTTCCAGGCAGGGGTGACTTACATCATGTGAAACGAGCAAGAATACCCATTTGGCAGGGCATCCTCAGTACACTAATTCCTACGTATGGTGTGGGAAACAATGCATACACAATTAATGGCCTTTCAGTTGAATTAGAAAACTTAACTTCTCTTGTAGACAATGGTTTCACTGCAATGACTAAAGAAATGCAAGCTATGAGAACTATGGTTTTACAAAACAGAATGGCTCTGGATTTCCTTCTTGCTTCCAAGGGAGGGGTTTGTCACCTGATTGGGGAACAATGCTGTACTTTCATTCCTGATGCTTCAAACAATATGAGCAACATTCATTACGAATTAGATAAATTGTTAAAACGGCAACAAGAGGAGAATTCTGGTTTCACTTGGGATTTTTGGGGATGGTTTAGTTCTGGGGGTTGGACAGCTTGGGCTACTAAAATAGCAGTGTTTTTTGCTTTTGTTTTATTGGTTCTGATATTTCTTTCCTGCTGTGTTGTTCCTATGGTTAAATCAATGGTGACCAAAATGATTTCTCCATCAGCCTCGTAACTCATAGATGAGACCTTAAATTTTAAGCTTCACATAGAATATCTACTAACAAAGTTGTCCAAGTATAATGGCCGGCTTTTTAATAAAGTTTTTATCTGTCTTTATCCACACTTTTAACTATGTACAAAACTCTCACTGAGATGCATATTAATTATTGCAATATTACATAGTGCAATACTTACCCTCGTTATCTTAGGAAACTTGAAAGCCTTCGAAAGAAGATAATTAATTCTCTACATAATTCCTATTGTTTTTTTGTTAACCCTCCAAACGTCAAGCTTACCTCGTACACTGAAATTATGTTTCACAAAAAGAAATGTAATTTTTTTTCTTTTTAACTTTGTCTAATTTCTGGTACAGTCTTATGTGATACATTTTCTAGTTTTGTGTGATTATATACAATCAAAGAGGAGGAGTGTGGTGGAAATTTTATGTTGAACTCCTGTCATGAGTTTTAATTAATTATATTGAGTATCTGAGTGTTTTCTAATTTCTCTTGTGGCTTGAGTGTGGTGAAACTGATGAGTGGGTCCAATGAGTTGTTCAACTCTTGCCGTTTCCTCACTGATGTCAGATAACAAGCAAAAGTACAAATACAGTGTAATCCAAAGGGGAGTATTCTGCTAGAGAACGTCAAACACTTCTGCCTTAAAAATAAAATACAAAGACAAACTTGTTTGTTCTCTGACCATTTGTTAAGACTCCATCTCATTGATTACACAATTTCCCTGACATTGAAAATCAAAAATAAACACCAAATATTTTATTAAAAATAAAATTTTCTAATGCTGCTATATTCATTCAAATTCAGCAGCTTTCTGTTCTAGTAAAAGCAGAACGGGAAACAGAATCAATCATAATGTAATGATTGATTCCACCATGTCAGTCTTTGGGGAACAATGTCCTTGACATTCCCGCCATGCTGGCCTAAACTTCCCGTGTTTCAGCATCTTTTAATTGCCAAATGAACGATTCCGTATTTTGTAAGATGGGTGTCAGTCATAGCCATCAATCCACACAACAGAAATGCAGAGTTTTGTCCACTAAGTTTAAATCCATATTTACCACCATCTTCCTCCACATTTAGTCTTTCAAAAGGGTTTTAGTCAAAAGTCAATAGATCCTTTCAGGGTTTGCTTCCACCGAGCCCTGCAGCCTAACCTGCAGTGTCCGCCCCATTACTGATTAAAGTCATTCAGGTAGTGGGGGTGAATTATTTTAGCTCAACTGACAGAAACGTCTCACATTTTGGATCTCTGACAGACTACCCACTAACAGTTGCATCTCATCAACAGAAACTCTGAGACTTCTTGTCATATTTTAATCACAGAGCTGTGTTATTTTCATCACAGTTTCCATCAACAAAATTATTTGTTATTGTCATCCTTACTGAAAACAACACTGCAGTTTAAGGACCTGAGTGGATCCCTTACTTACAATACAAACAACCAAACTAGAAAACCGATTGTTTTGATTGGTAGGTGAGGCTGAATAATTTGCTCAAAGAGTTTTGATGTCTGGGTTCTTCATATTGTCCTACATGAAAACATGAACATTTGAAGGACATGAGGCCGGAACAAGGGTGAAAGTGCGATTACTGGGACCAAGCCAGTCAGTCGGATCAGGAGCAGAAGAAGACAGGAAGCGAGAGGCTGAATGTCGCCTGGTCCCAAAACTCACTTTCAGTCTTGACAAGGTGCACATCAACAATAAAAAAATTTGACCTGATAAAATGACCAGAAAAAATGATAAATAGGCACGCAAACTAACAGTGTGAGGAAAGCAAAATGGAAAATGTTACAAATGCCAGAGGAATTTGAAAACTTACTTTACTGTAATATTTACTGTGCATTTACTCTGATTCATGCTTCAGTAATATGTGCAGTTCAGTTGGCACTTTGAAAGGAGAGTCTGCCAGGAACATGTAAAGCAGCTGCAGGATTTAAATCCATGTAAATCCATGTGGACAGCTGCTGAGCTGCTTACAGTAAGTCACCTGATTTCCTGGAAGAATCAGCTGCTGTTATAAAGCCTGGCAGAGATTCCTTAGTTAAACCAGGTTAGAGGTGTGTTTTCATTTCAACTGTTGATATATAGGGTGATTCTAATCAGATTACCTTGAATAAAACTCCATTATAACTCAGTGTGACGTGAAGAGTACAGAGATAGAATTACAGAAGCTACATTAAACCAAACTAGCAGAGCAGCTGATGGGTGGTTTTTTCTGCTTAGATGTTCAGTCTTGTGTTTATTATGTCAACGGGGAATATCCGCTAGCAGGTTTCTCTTTCTCTTTCGTGTTTTTATTGGCTGGAATTAAATAAAAAGGCATGTCCTTCATGATGTAACATGATTCTAAAGAATAAGATTTCGGGGCTTTACCTGTTAAATGCCTCCTTCGATCTCACCTGAACAGTCTGTGGCAGGTAGGAAAAACTGCACCTTTGCTCTAAGATTTACTAGTAAATGTATTTGTTTGCTGTGACATATATCAACCAAAAAGGTTGTCTTACTTTCTCTATGGTGGCTGCTGTCCTTAAAGCAGAGTCAAACATGTCTTTAATCCACTGTAATATCCTAATCCTAGCCTATTGTATCAAACAGGAAGTTACACAGTCATAGAGAGTTTCTGGTATTTAGCAAACATTAACGTAAACACAGAAATGTGGAAATTTACATAAAACAAAAAAAAGGTTTAATTTAGGACTACAGTATTTTCACATTAATTGTAAAATGATTTTGTTTTCCTTTTCCAAATGAAACATTTTCTTTTTAGTTCCTGATCATCCACCAACCATGAGAGACGCTTCAACTGATCTACTTCAGAAACCGGTGATTTATCTTGAGAAGCTGGAGAAACTTCGTGAGTTTCTACAAGTTTAACATAAATATGCAAATAAAACATATGCTTCAGATATTTAAATATGTTGTTGATGTTCAAAGCAAAAGTGAAAGTAAGACGTACGCTGTAAAACCAAATTAGAAATCATTACTAAAGCTGCGCATGGTAAGTGATTGTCCAGGATGTCTAGTATTTGCAAAATAAGAAAATAAAAAAATTATTATTCTGTTTACATAAAGTCTTGTGTCCAAGATAATATATTACTAAAGAACTCCATGTTTTAAAATTAATGTGTACAAGTACAGATTAATTTTACATTAATATACATGATATACATGATTCAACCGTTACTCATGTATGTCATTACTGATGACTCGAGTTTATCATTATTTGTTTCTCATGTTTATTCATAAACTGATCATCTTTATTGAACATATTAAAACAAATATTTTTGGGGATTTACTGGAGTTGTTTCTTCTGAAATGTTTGCATTCTGGAATGGGGGAATTTATTTAAAACAACCAAAACAGAACTACACTGTAAATCCAAATTATAGTAGTAAAGTTTAATTATAGCAATCTAACAGGACAGAATATAGCCATAAAAATAATAATCAGTTTAATCTAAATATGTTTTAGTGAGGTGCCCTGAAACAAACACTCTATGCTAAATTAAAACAATTCTGCAAAGCAGAGTGAATCAAAGTTCCTCCACAGAGATGCGAAAGATTTAGTTCCAGTTATTAGAAACGCAGTATGGTGACTGCTGCAGAAGCAGGAAGAGCCGCTTATTAGGAAGTGATTACCTGGAAGTTGTTTTACAAGCATGCACAAGATGCTTTTTTATTGAAATTACTATTTCTTTCTGCACGACAGCTGCCGTTAAACATATTCACCATTTCGAAAGCACAAAGGGCTCAGATGAATGGAACAGGCTGATGAAGCTTGCAGAGGAGAACTGCACCAGTCAAACCGTCCTGAAGTGGCTGAGAGAAAACTCCTTCGCCAAACTGGTAGACATGTTTAAATTCTTTAAAAAACACATAGATGAGGAGGAGAAGAAGAACCACAGCAACACTGTGGACATCACCTTTTTATCTCATGGATGTATCAGAGACTTCATGATCCCAGCCAGCTGCCTGCTGCCTCTGGCCTCCATCAGGGACGTGGTTCTCTACGCTCCCTGGAACTGTGTCTCTGGGGGTGCAGAGATAACATACGCTATCGCTACAGGAAAACTGAAGCCTCAGCATAGAGTTTTCTACTGCACCAAGAAGGATGGATGTCCAGTTCCTGATGAAAAACATCGACCCATTAAACTACCGGACCGCTGGAACTCAATGAGGCAGGCTGGAGACCAGATGATCCCAAACATCTCAGTTAGTCCTCTACGACCAGACGATAAAATCTGGAAAAGCTTTGAGTCTCTCACTAAAAAATATGGTCCTATTGGAAGAAACCGGATCATCATCCCCTTCATCCTCCCAGGAGAAGAATCAGACAGTGTCCCGTTCTCTGTGGTCACCTTGGCCCTGTCTCTGGTTCTGCTGCAGCCCAGGTTCAGAGCCACCGTCCACCTGGACGCCTGTCTGACTGACCTCTCTACTGGACAGAAGTTTGACAGAGAATATCTGGAGAAGCAGTACGCCTACGCTGCTGATGGCACTGGAATGAAATGTTCTAACATCTTCAGTTTCTTAAATAGAATCATTCAGTGGATTCAAGAAAAGACAAAACCTTTTTTTCAGGTTATCAGGCGCTTCCTGAAATATCTCTCTTTTTCAATATTTAATTAATTCGAAAATATCTGGACACAATGAAGCAGACAAGTAGATTATTTACTTTTACAAGTGTTTTGAAGAAACAGATAGAAACAGAGAAAGTTCTAGCAGTAAAATAAAAGAACCAGCTATGAACCGTCACATATGTTTGTAGCTTCATGATGGTGAAGACGCTAAAGGAGAAGAGAAGGACCAACGGTATCAAAAGCAATTCTGAGATTAAGGTGAAAAAGGACAGGTTTGATGTTTTTAAGTCGTTTATCACTCTAATATGTTTGTGTGATGTGGGTTAGTTTCTAAACTGGATTAACGAGAATCATATGGAACAGGTTTCGGATTAAATACATATGGAGTTGACTATGTTCAACTGTTCCTAATTAAAGCTTTTTACTAACATTTTCAGCTTAAATCTGACTGTTTTCTAACTTTCATAAATCCTCAATAATTCACATCATCGCATTTCCTGTATCAACTTTTCCGTAAGGTAGGAAAAGGCTGTGTCTGGATCCTAAATATGAAGAAAACATTTTGAAGAACAGACAGTTTCCACCTCCGGTGTTCACAATTTTAGGATAATAGCTGCACACAAAAAAACAACACTCCTGGATTGAACTTTCAAGGTTCCACTGTCCTTAAATAATTAACTTTTTCACATGATTTATCAATCAAAACCTGATATCCCATTAAACTTATGTTATTGTTAATTCAGGGGGACTAGATCTGTGTGCTGTGCGAGTGGCCGGTGTTGGGATTTCTTCACGATTGAGTGTCTGTTCACAAGTGTTTGGGGTGATTTATTTGGATTTATTCATTTGTTTTAAATACCAGTTCTCCATATTTGGACTGCCCCCCACCCCTCCCTCGCTGGTAAGCCTCAGTACTGTTCACTTCCCTTCTCATTGTGTTCCTGAAATTTTAATTGTCTTTTAAAATCATGGAACAATAAAGTGCTTTTTTGTGCAATAAAGTCTTGTACTCATTGGTGACAAACCTTAAGTGCTTTAATGGTGATTTATTTCCTTGGACGCAATTCCCAAGATGGTGTTCTTCACACCCCCTGGTTGCCCTGCTTTGAGTGGCCGAGTATCAAAATTCATACCCTTGTGATGCCACAAAATGAATCTAATGAACTCTTTACAAGCTTAGTATTTCATTTTTCTTAAGTTTTACTGTATCAAATTCTGACACTGTTATAAAACAAAAAAAGATTTATTTGATGAGTTTTTATTCCTCTCACATATTATCACAACTTCTCTGGAAACTCAGCTGTGCATAGTTTCCTTTCAAGAAATTTGTTTCACGCCCTCCTCATCTCCAAATGTTGGTTTCATTTTGCACAAAGTGACATTCATTCCCGCATCAGATAATGTCAGGAGCATGTTGGCCATAAGTGGCTTGTCTGCTCCAGGTCAAAACTGGTCTGTGGTCGGCATGTTTTCTTTTGTTAGGGGGCAGAGGGGCGGAGAGGTTCTGCCCCTTGTGTGGTTCCAGACCTGGTCAGTCTACTAAGAAGAGATATGAGTGGACCCTACTTTGAAAAAGAAAAGAAAGGAAGTAAGAGGTGTGGGTTATATAACATGTCAAAACAGGAAAAAGAGATGGGTGAGGCTGAAGAACATCAGGAGGAAAACAAGTTAATGCAGGGTGCAGCCAAATGCACTGAATTAACGACCGTTTTCCATATTGGAGGGGAAAAAGTAATTTATGACAGGAGACAATACAGTAGAACTACAGCAAGTTAAAAAGCACTGGCTGAAAAAACAAAGGAACAGATCTTTACTTCAAAAGAAACATTTTGGGAGAAGGTCTGTATTCAAAGTAAAAAAGATCATGTCTTAATATACAGACTATACGTCTAGTTTCTCTGTTCTGTTTTCTCATTAATAAATATCTAGATAATCTTTTCCAGTCACAATGCTATTTGCTTGATAAACCTGTAACATGGCATTTCTTTTTCAGCTCCTTTGACAAAACATTAAAATAAAATGACAGAAACTGTTTCTCCAGTCAGAAAATTTTGAGAGATTGTAAGGCCAATCCAGGGGTTGGAGAGATTATTGTCCTTCCTTGGATACATGCAATTTAAAGTCAAATAAGAGCTTTGTAGATAACAAGATCACATGATTGTCAATTAAACTGAAATGCAGTACTGCTTGTAAATGATCCAGAACGCTGCTGCTCACGTTCTGACTAAAACCAGGAAGATAGAGCACATAACACCAGTTTTAGAGTCCCTACAGTGGCTCCTTGTAGCTCAAAGAATAGACTTTAAAAAACTGTTGTTAGTTCATAAATCACTGAACAGTTTAGCACCACAACACATTAAAGATCTGGGGCCTCGTGCATAAAGCGTGCGTGCGCAAAAAAATGTGTCCCATATTTTACGCAAAAGTCGGCATGTATAAAAATGAACTTTGCGTCAAAGTTTGCATATATATACACACACTTTTTCGCTGGCATGAAAATGTGTGGGAGCCACGCAAACGTTTTCTGTGGACAATATCAAACTACAAAGCGTCAAAGCTTACCTAAATACACAGAAATTGATTATATTCAGCACAAAACCAATGTTTTTCATGATTTTAATATTTTATTGTTTAAACGAAAACGATTAAACTGAACCGCATTTATCCTCAGACAATAACATAACACAAACACAAAATAAAGAAAATAAAAATAAAAGGATGTGAAAACCTCGCTCAAATGTAAATAGTACTTTTCCTCAGTTTTTGTCTCATAAAGATGTAACCCATTGGTCTGTGAGCCGAAGTGCATGAAATGCATTTATGGGATAATTTCATTCTCACTAAAAGAAGAAAACAGGGTTGGATCAGCAGATTAAATCAAACCTGCTGATTAAAAATAACCAGCAGGTTTGATTATTTTTAAGGCGATCAAGGTATGTATAATCACACGTATATAAGTAGCTTCGCAAAGGTGAGCCGCGTAAATGCAGAGTGTTTTCGCTCTGATTGGAGAACATCGCCAATGGAAGGATTCAGAGGGAGTGATTGTTCTGAGATCATATTGATCTGCTGGGAAATGTTGATTATGGTTTATTAGCATTTAGATTAATCCAGATGGATCATCCTTGTGTTTGCTTCCTGTGTCTCGTCTCTGCGTCCTCCCCGTTGATTGTCTCCCAGGTGTTCCCTTGATTACCCAGTGTGTATTTAGTCTCACCTGTTGTCTGTGTTCTTCGTTGGGTCCTTGTCTACGCTGCCTTCAGTTTGTGAGTTGCTGTCAAACGTTTTGTTGCTCTGTCGACACTCTCCAGTGGAACTGCTAAGTCCTGGTTGGTGTCTGCTCACATGTCGTCCTGTAAGTCAGTTGCTACCGGCAATTAGCTGTTTACTTGTCTCCTGCTGTGCTGCCTGTCTTGGACTGTTCGCCGAGCAAAACTATCATTACTCACCTTACTCATCATCTTACCTGGGTCTCGGCGTCCTTATCCTCACCACAACCACACCTCTTCTTGACACCTACATTGTCATAATAAACTATTATTGTCTTGAAACCGGTCTCTTGCTTATTGCAAAACCGGACCTGTGTCGTTTACCGTTAATTCCTGGTGATAACCCCTGGTGGCGTTGTTGGCAACAAACAAAACTGTATGGTCAAACCACAGAATGCCACAGTGAGTTTGACCTTTGTAGTTTGATATTATCCACAGAAAAAATTTGCATGGCTGCCGCACATTTTCATGCCAGCGGAAAAGTGTTCGTATATATACACACACTTTGACACAGTAAATTTTTATACATGCCGATTTATGTGTAAAATATGGCGCCGCACAATTTTTGTGCGTAAGCACGCCTTCTGTATGAGGCCGCTGCTGTTGTATCAACCTTCCTGACCTCTCAGGTGTTCAGGTTCTGTTCTGCTCTGCATCCCGAAAACCAGAACCAAACACGGAGAAACAGCATTGAGCATCTATGCACCACAAATCTGGAATCGGTGAAATCTTTTCTTTCCAGGCAGCATTTTGAAACAGTGATCCACACTTTTATTCCAACTCTGTTGGATTACTGTAAGGCACTTTACCTGGGAGTCAGTCAGTCACTGCTCTTACGTCTGCAGCTAGTTCAGATGCTGCTGCACCACTTAGGACAGGAACTCAAAGGGAGAGCATGTGACCCCTGTCCTGGCCTCACTTCACCGGCTGCCTGTATATTTTAGGATTCATTTTAAAATTCATATGTTTGTTTTTAAATCACTACATAATCTTGCCCCGGCTTACCTCTCTGAGCTTCTTCACCCCTACGTACCCTATTGGTCTCTCAGGTCCGCAGATCAGCTGCTTTTGGAGGTACCGAGATTCAGCAGGAAGCTCAGAGGGGACAGGGCTTCTCTGTCATGGGCCCCAAGTTATGGAACGACTTGCCTTTGCAGGTCAGAGAGGCCCCTTCACTGTCAACTTTTAAAGCTCGTCTTTAAATCCATCTATTTTACTTGGCTTTCAACTGCAGCGGGATTTAGTTTTAAATTGTATTTTTGTTTTTAAACTGTAAGAGTTGTTTTTTTTTTAATTATGTTGTGTTTTAATGTAAAGCACTTTGTATCAGCTGTAGTTGTTTTAAAGTGCTGTATAAATAAAGTTGGTATGGTAAAGCATTTTGAAATGCCTTGTCAAAATGTGCTATACAAAAACTTGATTGAATTGCTTTGTTTCTCACTTAAATGAATGCAGTGTAAGTTAACCCCTGAGTGAGGAACAAATCAAAATATTCTCTTGATGTGACACATTTTAAGCCAAAAACAAAATACAAGAAGTGGAATAGAAGATTCTTTAGCTTTGAAGGTCAGGAAAGCAGTAGGAAGTTAGGATTAAGAAATGTACATTCCATTCAGATAAAAACATAGAACCTCCCAGCTTTTCAAAGAGGTATTGTTTTCATTGAGTGTTTTACATTTTATCCTATTAGTTCCATTTCTGAGAATATATTCCACCCATTTATCCAGATGTGATTACCCTATACAAATTTTGGAAAATCTTGGTATTGCTAGCTTTGGGCAAAGTACAATCGATGGAAAGTTTTAGACACAGCAGGGGCGGTAGTGCTATGAGGTTTCCTGTAAAATGCCTTGTGGAGCTCTGTTGAGGAAACACATCCACAGACTGCACAAAGGAGCTGCTGCACAAATCACTTCTGGAAAATTTCATTGGACCAAGTCCCAGCTCTGCTCTTTCTGCAGGTCAGACGACACAGTAAGCTTTTTAAAACCTTGTCTTTTTGTAAGCATTATTTTTATTTGAATTTTCATAGGAACCACTGATACATTTGTTATATTCTTAACGACAGAGATATAACTCACACACATACAATCCAAGTTTGCATGGCTTCCAATGACACACATTTGCACATGAAAAAACATCTGATATAAACATTTAGGTCAGGAACAAATAACCGAACAGGAAAGCCAATCAACCATAAGAAGACAAACTAAAGAAGGGGGAAAACTACACACATAAAGTCACTTAGACAGGTACAATAGAAGCCAATTATGTTTCCACACCAACAATTTTCTTTAATCTTATTTACCAGGGTCATGCATATATTATGTTAATTTTCTTTATATACAAGTTTTGCATTCATTTACAAATAAATAAAATGAAGACCAAACGTCCTCCAATTTTTCTTGCTTCCCTTTTAGTATGCATCTTGTTATTTCCAAGGGAAAGTTGCTAACATTTGTCTAATCTAAAATGTGACACTCAGACTATCTGTTCTTTTCCAAAAGAGTGCAATAGATTTTTGGGGGGCTGTAAGAGATGAATATCTATCAAAATATGCTCTTTATGGTTACAATTATGACCACTGGAATGTAGTCCCAAGATAAACAGAGTAGGATCCATGTTAACATTTTTGAAATAATTCCAGCGTTTTTTTTCCTAACCTCCTCCCAAAAAGGAGGAGGTTAGGAAAAAAAAACCTAACCTCCTCCCAAAAAGGAGGTTCTTACATAAATGAATGCAGTGTAAGTTAACCCCTGAGTGA